TAAACTATAGTTTAATATTATAGAAGATGTTTGATATAATATTGTGATATTATATATATTAATAAATGGTTGGCATCTAATACCTATTCTATTATAAAAAAAAATTTATAATATAATATTTGGTATATTTGTTTAATATTATATTATATTTATTATTTTATTTGATTTTATTTTATTTATTATTTCATTAATTATACATATAATCTTTCAAAAAAACTACTAAGATTATATATATATTATTCTTTTTTTTTTAATTACAAATAGGTATTAAATGTATAACTTTTATTAAACAAAAGTTTATAACCATTATATTAAAGATCTTTATATGGAAAATAAATTAATCTTAGCTTATTATAACTGTTTAATGCTAATTGATATCAAATAGGTGGACTCTTACTAATAGTATTGAATAACTAATCCTATTTAAAATAATAATATGATTGTAAGAGTAAAAATATTTTTGTTAGTTAAGTTATTATTGATTTTTAAGGTATTAAAAATTTTATAAAAAGTTGTATTATATAAAATACATATTTTTTTGATTTGTTTTTGAAACTTTGGTTTTTTTTAAGAATAATAATATAGTGGCAGTAGCTAATTATTTTAGCCATACTTTGTATAATATTCTTAAGTGCTTTGTTAGAAATTATAACTTTGTTATTTTTGATTTTATCTAGAAGAGATAAAAAGTTGCCAAGAGCAAAATTAATTATATTAGTTATTATTATTGTAAAAAAGGTAGGATGTAGTGTTTTGATTATTGATTGGTTCAGAAACATTTTTGTTTAATAAATATATTAGCTTTTCTTTTTTTTCCTAATTGTAGGTAAAGTATGGATGCATAAAAAAATGTGTAGTTGATTTTTTAGATATGCTTCACATTATAAGTAAAGGTTGCTATTATACAGGTTTGGATATCTTTTATAGAGTTTGGTTTTTATTGATAACTGATCAGCAATAAGTTTGGTTTTAAACATAGCTAAACTTTTAAATTTTAATTGATTATTTTTTTTTAATTTTTTGTTAGCACTGAGAATCAATTTGAGAAATAGTATTGAGATAGGCTTATATGTTGGCAATTGATTTAAAAGTATATTGAATATTTAGAAAGAAATAAAGATTAAATAAGATAATTATTAATTTATAGAAAATATATAGAAATACAGTTATCAGAAGAGCAAAATATTGTCTTTATATATGGTTTGAAATTTTATAGTTATTTTTACTTATTTAATTAAAGTTAAATATAAATTGACGATTTCAAATAACAGATTTATAATCCAAACTTTGTTAAACAATGATCGAGTATTCAGCCATGCTTCTTAATTGAATGTGATATTAAAAAAGAAAGTAATTGTTGACATATGAACATATACTGATAAAAAGACCTAATAATATTAATTTACTCACTTTTCAACTAAATTTTAAAACAACCCGCTGGATTCGGTACAAGTCAATGATAAAATTGGTACCGACCATGCTTGTAGGTATTACTGGAACATATGCAGATGGGATAGGAAATGGTGGGTCCCAAAATACTTCATTAATAGGAATTGTAATATGAAAAGCTGGTAAGTTTGATGCATTGTAATCAGCAGGATCATTGAAAGGATCTGAATTTTTTATTACATTTCCAAACTCACATCGTTGTGTCTCCATTACTTGACAATAAAGTTTTGCCTTATGTTTAAATTAATCATGAAAATATGAAACATTTAATTTATAATAATTAAAGTACTTTAGCGTCATTGCTATATAGGGATACCTGTTCTAGGTTCTTGAATATTTGATCTTTTATCTAAATTTTTGATACTAATGACGGCATGGACATATTGTTCTTTCATCCAAAGCAAACACCTCTGTCCTAAACAATCAACATTTTTACTCACAGTTACTTCACAAATTATTCGTGCATGAGGATTTCCCTACATGTACAAGTAAAATAAATAATACATAACATATCAAACCTAGATACCGTTGTGTCACTATGTGGACGAGGTATAATGGTAGAAGCAGAAAGTTTTGAAACAAATGCCGTATCTGGAAATACAGTAACATCAGGAGTTATTTGAACTCTGCTTCCATCGGGTGCATAATGTACTATATAAAAAGATTTTTAAGATATTTGAAAATTTAATAACAAGAAGCTAATTAGAATAAATTCTCTTACAAACTTATCCAGAAACTACTATGGGAGCATCGTCAATAACTTCACCATTAGGAACTTTGAAAAATTGTTGAAACCGGCTAACAACACTCTCACGCGCGGATGTATTCTTGCCAATTTTATACACATTGCTAGTTTTCTTGTCAACGTTTAACTGGAACCAGAACTTGTATCCGTTTGATCCGTAATTATTAAGAAAGGTATTATAATCTTCGATGTGTTACTTTTGACCCAATTTGGAAAGGCAAGCTGTATTTGCAAAGTCTACATTAGTTGGTACTTATGCAATAAAGTAACATATTCATAAACCTACCTGCTTTCTGTCAATTGTTTTGGCAATTTTGGATAATTATGTAAAATTCAACAAATCTATCGAAAATCTTGCTCCCTAAATAGCGTCTGAGGTAAGTGCACGAGACATTCTCAAGGCAAACTGTTGGAAGAGAAAATTATGAAAATTAAATCGGAAAATGTCGATCTAATATGTGCTGTATATCAAATCGGATAATGATGTGATGTAACTTCAATATAGCGACTTCGAGAATATCAAAGGCCCATAGCTTGGACGTATTTAAGGCTTTTCGAATAGTATTTAAAAAACAGAGCACATAATTAAAAAAGTTGAAATTTTTGATGAAATTACAGTAGATACAGTATATTCTTAATAAGGTGATTATTTTATTTAGAAGTGAAAATCATGTGTAACGTTAAGTATTCTGTGTAGCCCAAGTGCATCAAAAACAAAACTTTACGGGATTTCTAAGAAAGGTATTATTCAAATGATAATTTTAAGCGTGTCGTTTATATAAGAAACCATACAGATCCAAAAAAAGTGAATACCTTATGATCATTGAATATTATGAAAATTTGCGGCGATGGCTTAAAAAAATTGCAGTGTTCATTGGGATTTGGTTGGTAGTCAATTAATCATACAGTAAGTAAATATTATTAGATAAATCTTATATTATTGAATTTTAGCATCCATTAAATATTCTTATTCACAATAAATGCGCCGGTTTGGTGGTTTACCCTATATTGATCCACAATGTTTTAGGAAAGCAAATTCGTAAAGGATCTTATAGAAAGAACCAAGAAATTAGACATTTGCAGCTTAGAAGATTTCATATACCATCGAAACACTTTCTTGCTATCTTGAACGGCTCCA